TGTAATTTTATAGGGACCACCACTTCATCATTGAACATTTGGAGAAATAGTAACTAGTGAGCTGTCCAAATTGTATGGTTCCTGTAAGTTATGAAGCATGATCCACAACTCCATGGTTGTTTTGTGCTAGATTTCTCAATCACGATGGAGATAGTTGTGTCCTCTAAATATTCTACATCGTTTACCTGTTGAACCTTGGACAATAAATGCCATTAGTATTACTACGTATTTGAGATCACATAAATGGAGTATACGTATTTTGTGGATGTCTTTTTTTCTTAACTTTTGGGTAGCCTGAAATCAGGGTCTACCTACCATATTAATTGATCAATCTAATGGAGGGCTATTGCATGTCATCTTAACTTTTAAGAGTGGCAGAAATTGTGTTTGTTTGTAATCTTCTTTTCTAGAAAGAAATGTTTTTCTGAAGATGGAAACGCTGACATGTTTAAAGTATTAGAAAGCTGAGATTTTAAGTGGATCTTTGTTCCTCTTACGGTTTTACCTTTGTATATCAGGCCTTAATGCACAGCGACTGAGGTTGTACTTGTTCTATATGCTGCAATGTTCTACGCTCCTTATTGAAGGCTGAATTTAGCTTGCATTTGTTGCACAGTACTTATTATTATTAATTTTTTTTTTTTCTAACCAAGAGTGGGAAACTGTTGGTATTACGATTAGAAGGTAAAGATAAATGACCAACACGAGTCTTCGAGTTGATGCAAATACTTTTAATACAATTAAAACTTTTGTTACAATCACAATATAAATGCTAACCGCAAAAGAAAGTTGAAAATGAGAACAAAAGTTAAACAGAATACTGACTGAAGTATGAACAAACTATAATCAAAGAAAAGCTGTATACTTCACAAGTTCATATGAAACAGAAGATAATTGTAATCGTTAACTGCAAAAGAATAAAACATTTCCTAACAGTCTATCCTTTCTTATGCACTTTTTTCTTCTGAGTTTTCTTCTTAGCATATTCTATGCCAGATGATTATGTTTTTGATATCCTTACCATTATTCATCTATCAAGGAGAAGGCATGATTGTGCCTGAAGAATTTATGGTCTGAGATATATGAAACCGAGAATTCTGGTTATGGCTCGACAACAAAGTCTTAAGGCTTTTCTTTAATATGTGTTGGGCTGCATTTACTGATTACATACTTTATAGTACAAAAAATTATATGGAGGTGGATAGTATGTGTCCTTGCCCCCCAGCCTTGATTTATGTTGTTGGGCTTCTTTTAATTGTATGCATGCACTGTTGTGATGTGGCTGCTTCACCTTGTTGCAGGATATCCTTACAACTTGGACTTTGACTATGGCGCTTTGAGTCAATTGCAACATTTTTCAATAAACAACCTCGGTGATCCATTCATCGAGAGCAACTATGGTGTGCATTCCAGGCAATTTGAAGTGGGTGTGTTAGATTGGTTTGCACGTCTTTGGGAGATTGAGAAGGACCAGTACTGGGGATATATTACAAACTGTGGGACAGAAGGAAACCTTCATGGCATCCTTGTGGGGTAAGTATACTTAACATCCATTAATCTATTATGGAACATCAGGGTGGACATGGTCTTCTAATTCTCTGCTGGTTTATGGATTTTCAGGAGAGAAGTGTTTCCTGATGGCATTTTATATGCCTCAAAAGAGTCACACTACTCAATCTTCAAAGCTGCACGCATGTATAGGATGGATTGTGTTAAGATTGAGACGTTATCATCTGGAGAAGTTGATTGTGATGATTTCAGAGCCAAGCTTCTCCAGAACAAGGATAAACCCGCCATCATCAATGTCAACATAGGTAGATCCTTTTACTTTCCTTCTTAAAGTTTGAACATGTTAGTTTTGTAGGATTATTATTATTTTTTTTATATAAATTTTTATGGGGCCAAATATATATTAAAGAGAGGTTTGATTATATCAAATCTTTAATAGGAGAGTTTGGTTGAGAGAAAATTAGGAGAGAGGTTTGAGCCCAAAAGGATAAGTTTGAAAGAGATGTTTGTAGGAGTTTTTTGTAAATGTTTAACAAGATTTCTAGATAATTTTCCTAGGAATAATTTTTTCCAATGTCCTTATTAGCCATTTTAATACATAACGTAGCCATCAAATATTTATCAAACACTTTTTACACACACCCACCCACCAACCCAAAAGGAAAAAAAAACTTCGATATCTTTTGTGAGTAAATTTTTTTCCTTAAATTACAAAATTAACATGTTTGACACCTTTCTGTGTCTAATCTAATGCTTTTATTGCAGGAACTACTGTAAAAGGAGCTGTTGATGATCTTGATCTAGTGATACAGACTCTTGAAGAATGTGGCTTCCCCCACAATCGGTTCTATATCCACTGTGATGGAGCCTTGTTTGGTCTTATGTTACCATTTGTTACTCGAGTAAGTAGTTATCATTATTTTTACCATTTGCTAAAGAAAAAAATGTAGCTATGTTAAAGACGTTTTTCCACCTCACAAAAGTGGTGACATATGAACATTTAGTTTTTAGACACTTGGTACATGGTACTGTCAACCATGTATTGTCGTGGTTTGTTTTTTCTTTTTACTGTTCACAAAGTGTTGGTGAAACTACTGGTTGCATTAGTAAATATGGGAGTGTTCTCTTCAGCTTACTTTGACATATCTAAACGTAGGATGTGTTCTATTCACCCTTTACTTATCTAAACTTATATTGTCTATTCTTGTTTTATTTGAACATGTTTCCTTACACTTGATCCGTACTTGTGAACTTGTCTAAACTTAGAAGCTATTTTGTTTGAATTTTTTATAACTTGTTTTGTCTGAAACAAGCTAAAATCAGTTGAGCAAACATAACACCTGAAGTCATGGGTCTTGGTTCTCATAATGATATGACTGGCTGCTTGGTAAAGATGTCCGTACCAGGGTGTTGCATTGTTGATCTTTGCGGTCCTTGGGATTGTTCATTTTCCATCACACTTTGTCCAAAAATTGGAAAAAAATTTGCTTGTTCAAGGAGTTGTAGCCCAAGTTTTATTCCTCTCAAAACACCTACATTAATACAAAGTATTTTGGAGAACTGTCCAATTGTCTTGCATGCTAGATGCTAGGTTGTGTCAAGCTATTGTGCACGCTGTTGATTTTAAGTTATTAGTTTTTCACATTTTGTGCTACTGCTCATGAGCATTACACTATGCAGGCACCTCAAGTTACATTCAAGAAGCCGATTGGTAGTGTCAGTGTATCTGGCCACAAATTTGTGGGGTGCCCAATGCCCTGTGGTGTTCAGATAACAAGGATGGAGCACATCAACACTCTGTCTAGTAATGTGGAGTATCTCGCTTCAAGGGATGCTACAATCATGGGGAGCAGGAATGGCCATGCTCCTCTATTTCTATGGTGTACCTTGAACAGAAAAGGATATCGTGGTTTCCAGAAAGAGGTTCAAAAGTGCCTCCGCAATGCCCACTACCTTAAAGACCGGCTTAGAGACGCTGGAATTAGTGTCATGCTCAATGAGCTAAGCAGCACAGTGGTGTTTGAGCGTCCTCGCGATGAGGAGTTTATCCGACGTTGGCAGCTAGCTTGCCAAGGAAGCATAGCTCATGTGGTTGTGATGCCTAGTGTTACAATAGAGAAGCTCAATACTTTCCTTGACGAGCTAGTTGAGAAACGTTCAACTTGGTACAAAGATGGTGGCAACCAACCTCCATGTCTTGCATCCGAGTTAGGCAAGGAGAACTGCGCTTGCCCTATGCATGAGTGAGAATTTTCTTGCTTAACTAGTTTTCTACTGGACCGAAGTATTTCATTCAGATTTGCTTACAGCAGTGTATCATTGTTGTTGCCATTAATGGTGTTTGTATTTCTTTTCATGCTCGGGGCCTTCTATTTCAAGGTTGAAGAGAAGTAATCTACATAGTGATAGATAGCATTTCATGTGGCATAAATAAGAAGTGAGATGTTTGTTAAAGATGGGGTTTGAGCAATCCCACCCATCTACGTAATACTATATTGTATGCTTGTTTCGTGTACTTAAATTACACACCGCGTAAATGTAGCAGTGATGTAATGGACAATCCAATGTGATATCTATCAGTGTATTCTAGAGTTTGTGAGCTATCTTGAAGCTAGAAGTTTAAATGATATATATATGTAGATCTCTTTTGATCAAACCACTAACAGTGGCTATGTATTCAACATTCAGTGGTTCAATTGTGCCTCTCTTATGATGGCCGTCTGTGAAAGTTGGCAATCACTACAATTTTTTTTTTTATTCCAACAGTTTTCTATTATGCTTGTCAATGTATAGTTTCAATCACTAATATTTTTAGTTACCAATATGTAAAATTCAAGTTTGCAAGTGAAAAAAAGCAACAAAAATGCTTCAGTTTACATGCTAGAGAGTATGAAACAAAAACCGGAAGTATAAATTTTTCTTTGTAAAGGTGGTTGAATATTAAAAAAAATAAAAATAAAAAGGCTTAATTTTTTGAAAAAGTGATTTTTGTTTTTCAATTTTTCCTTTAATAAATTTTTGTAAAAATATAGTGTTCTTTGGATGAAACTTATCTAAGCTATTTTTTTTACCTTAATTTTGGTTAATTTAAATTATTTTTTTACCTGAATTTATTTATGCTGAACTTTACTTATTTTTAAATTAAACAATTGTACTGATCTTATTCAATAAGGCCATAAGGGTGGATTGGTGGAGTGAATAAGGTCTTAGCATAATTTGATGTAAACCATAATAAATAAAAATAAATAAATAAATAAAAACATTGTTCTATAGTTCAATTAAAAATTCAATACAGAATAAGAAACTTCAAATTGAAGAATGATTTTTTTTTAATTATTTATAATTAAATGTAAAAAACCTTTGACAATTACTGTATTTTAATTTTATATAATTAAATAAAAAAATAAATTTTTGACAATTACTATATTTTATTACTACCTCTGTTTTATATTTTTTTTATATTTTTTGCAACTTTGAGTAGTATTGTGAGGTATAAATAGTCCAAAGTTCAAACGGAAGTAGTAAATAAATTGAAGAAAAATTCAAATTTATTAAGTTGATTTACAAATTTTGTTAATCACCCCCCAATTATTTAATTTTTTTTATAAAAAATTAGATGAAATGACAAAATTTCCATTTGTAATATGAAATTGCAAAATTATCCCTCTTTTATTGGCTAAAAATGACAAACTACTCTCTTTATTGGCTAAAATGACAAAATTACCCCTAATTTACAATTTAGGCTTATACACTGGATGCTCCTCCCAGTTCTTCTCAACATCTTCATCCTCCTCCAGACTCTAAAACCCTGCACCCTTAAACCCTCTCAAAGAGTCAAAGAGAGAAAAAAAAGAGAAATTTTTGCATACTTTCATTCAAAGATGTCAATGAAATTAATCCAAAAAATCAAACCAACCAAAAAATTTCATGAAATTTCTTACAATATCCTCAATTCATCAAATACCCACCAAAATCGTCAAATGACAACAAGCAAAAGAGTACAAGACAGGAGCAAGAAGAAGCGAGTTCACGACCTTGAAATTGTCACAGAAAGATGGAAAATTTTCTCCAAAATCCACCATTTAATGGAGGTAATCAAATCTGAACCTGAGCATGTAATTTCAATTCGATATCTTGAACAAGAACGTCGTCAAATTAACCTCCCTAAACCTCATAAATTATCTGATTTTCTTCGAAAATCGCCGAAATTGTTTGATTTGTATAAGGATAGAAAAGGGACTTTGTGGGTTGGAATGACCCCAGAAGCTGAGGATTTGCTTGAGGAAGAGGAGAGAGAAATTGAAGCACATAGTGATAAATTAGCTGAGTATGTTACTAGGATTTTGATGATGTCGATTGATAAGCGAATTCGGGTTGATAAGATTGCTCATTTTAGGAGGGATTTTGGGTTGCCATTTGATTTTAGGAACAATTGGGTGCATAAGTATCCTGATCTTTTTAGGTTAGTTAAGGTTGAGGCAAATGATGGGGGTGTTGATCATGAGTTTTTGGAATTGGTAAATTGGAAAAATGAGTGGGCAATTACTGAATTGGAGAAAAGAGGGAAAAATTTTAGTGGGGATGAGTTGAATTTGCATTCTCCAGGGAAGCTTTCATTGGCATTTCCAATGAAGTTTCCGCCGAATTTTAAGAAGTTGTTTAGGTTTGGTGGAACATTAGAGCATTTTCAGAAGAGGGAATATTTATCCCCTTATGCTGATGCTCGAGGGCTAGCAGCCGGATCACAAGAATTTGATAAACGAGCAGTTGCGGTTATGCATGAATTGCTTAGTTTTACACTTGAGAAGAGGCTGGTTACTGACCATTTAACTCATTTTCGACGTGAGCTTGTGATACCACAGAAGTTGATGAGGTTGTTGTTGAAGCATTTTGGTATATTTTATGTTTCAGAGAGAGGGAAGCGGTTTCATGTGTTTTTGAATGAGGCATATAATGGGCCGGAGTTGATTGAGAAATGCCCCTTGGTTCTTTGGAAGGAAAAGGTTATGAATCTGATTGGTTATAGAGGGAAGAAGAAGAAGGCTGCCTCTTTCGACGAATTTTCTGATATTGAGGATGAAAACTTGTTCAAGAGTGATTCTGATGATGAGAGACTCCAAGTGAACTTAGAGCAAGAGAGTACATTGGATGGTTTAGATGATGATGTGCTTGCAAATGATGCTGAGATGGATATTGAGGAAGTTTCTAGTGCTTATAAGGATGCTTAACCATAATCCTGTCATTATTTACAATGGATGCTTCTCGGCTGCATGCCTAACATTACTGTAAGACTTTTTGAAGTTTGAACTATAGCAATTTTTTACATCAAATTTTATTATTTTAGCCGTGTTGCATTATCTGTATGGCCTGTAAGTCTGTAACAGTGTTCGAGTGCTATAATTGGCTTTAGAGTTTAATTAGGTGGCTCATTGGAGATATATATGTATATGTATATGTATATTGCTGTGACGGTATGTAGTCTATGTACCATATAATTTTTGAGGGAAGTCTGATGATATGTTGTTGATAAGTATATTAGGTGACTCGTACTTCGTAGCTTTGTCCGCCCGATCGGGCGGACATTGCCCGGTCTGACCGGGCGGAAGAAGAAGAGGTGCCTGGCAAATTCGTTGAAGAAGCTGCTCTCGCGCCCGACCGGGCGAGCCTTCGCCCGACCGGGCGAGCCTTCGCCCGATCGGGCAGACCTTGCCCGGTCTGACCGGGCGGTGGGGGTTGGATACGTTGAAGCATTCGTATGGAGTTTTCTTCTCGCGCCCGATCGGGCAGACCTTGCCCGGTCTGACCGGGCGGAGAAGGAAAAATACGGAACGCGGATTTTGCGGTTTTAGGTTATCTTATTTTATTATCTTTTTGCCCAAGTATCTTTTAATTAGGGATTAATATAAAACCTCCCTAATATCAGTATTAGGGTTAAGAGAGACAGAGTGAGAGCCGTTCTTGAGAAATACAAGAATCATCTTTGTAATCTTTGCAGTTTATAGTGAAATCATTCGATCTCGGTGCCCGTGGACGTAGCTATCACATCGATAGTGAACCACGTAAATTCTTGGTGTTGTTCTTATTGTTTGCATTGAATTTCTTTATTGTTTTCTTGTTTGTTTACGACCTTTGCTTCCGCTGTCGCACAACAATTGGTATCAAGAGCTCAGGTTCAATCCTTGGAGAGTTTCTTGAAGATAACAATGGCAGGAGATTCAACAATAAGAATTGAGAAGTTTACCGGGAAAAATAGTTTCGGGCTATGGCAAATTAAGATGAAGGCTCTGTTAAAACAACAGCAGATATGGCGTCCGTTGGCTCCAAAGAGTACTACTTCGGAGTCAGGAGACGGACCGACTGACTCGCAGTTAGAAGTTATGGAAGAGAAGGCACACTCTACCATATTACTTAGTCTTGATGATCAAATCATCACGGAGGTTGCTGATCAGGAAACGGCGGCTGGATTGTGGCTGAAGCTGGAGTCATTGTATATGACTAAGTCGTTGACCAACAAATTATTACTGAAACAGCGGTTGTTTAGCCTCCGGATGCAGTCAGGTACTTCCTTACGGGAACATCTAGAAAAACTTAACTCTATTTTGCTTGATTTACGTAATTTAGATGTTAAAATTGATGATGAGGATGCTGCGTTGATTTTACTTGTATCTCTACCGTCTAGCTTTGAGAATTTTGTAGAGTCTTTTGTTGTTGGTAAGGATTCTATAACCTTAGAAGAAGTGAAGGCAGCACTTCATACTAGGGAACTCAGAATGAAAGCTACGAGTGATAATGGGGATAATGGTAGTGGGTTATTTGTTAAGTCCGGAAAGTCTAAAAAGAATAAGGGGTTTAACAAGGGGAACAATGCTGGGTCGGGTGCTGGAAACGGCAAGGATGGATCTAGTAAAACTACTACTAAAACATGTTATTACTGTAAAGAACCGGGTCACTTTAGGAACAATTGTCCGGTGAGGAAAAACAAGTCCCAGGCTGCTGTAGTTGAAGAGAAACCGAATGAGAGCTATAATTCAGAGGAAGATTTAGCATTAGTCAGTTCTGCTAGGTCTGATGATTTATCTGATAACTGGGTTCTAGATTCGGGGTGTTCGTTCCATATGTGTCCACGTCGAGATTGGTTTGATACATATGAACCTCGCAATGGGGGTATGGTTATAGTCGGTAACAATGCTCCATGTAAGGTCACAGGTATTGGTTCCATGAGGTTGAGGACTGTTGATGGGCGGAGGTTAACTTTGACTAATGTACGGCATGTTCCTGCTTTAGGAAAGAATCTGATTTCATTGGGTACCCTGGATGAATTGGGGTACAATGGTGTGTTTTCAGATGGGGAGTTGTGTATTTTCAGAGGTTCTGAGTTGGTACTTAAGGGTATCAAAAGGAACACCCTCTATGTTTTTGAGGGTGTTACACTGCCTAGTTCTGCGGTTTGCGCATCTGTATCTCACCAGGAGATGACTAAGATTTGGCACATGAGGCTTGGTCATATGGGGGAGAAGGGGATGCAGCTATTGTCCAAGAGGGGTCTTCTATCCGGGGTCAAGGTTGCCAACCTTGAATTTTGTGAGCATTGTGTGTTTGGTAAGAAACACAGGTCAAAGTTCAGCAAGGGTGCTCACATTACTGATGCAGTGCTCGATTACATCCATTCAGATTGCTGGGGTCCATCTAGAGTTGAAGGTATGGGAGGTTACCACTATTTTGTGTCATTTGTTGATGACAAGTCCCGATACACATGGCTTAGGTTGCTTAAGTCAAAGGATGAGGCCTTCAAAGTTTTCAAGCAATGGAAAGCTTTGGTGGAAAATCGACAAGGAAGGAAGATCAAGAAGCTACGAACGGACAATGGGCTAGAGTTTTGCAAAGACGAGTTTAATCAGTTCTGTGCAGATGAGGGTATAGGTCAGCATCATACTGTCAGGAAGACACCACAGCAGAACGGTGTAGCAGAACGGGTTAATCAGACACTGCTAGAGAGAGTTCGATGCATGCTCTCTAATGCAGGGCTTGGGAGGAGGTACTGGAGTGAAGCTGTGTTAACAGCTTGTTATGTCATTAATAGGGGTCCTCATTCTGGAATTGATTCCAAAATTCCGTTTGAGATCTGGAGTGGTAAGTTGCCTAATTTTTCGAATTTGAAGATTTTTGGTTGTGTTGCTTATTATCATGTTATTGAGGGTAAGCTGGATCCACGAGCCAAGAAGGGGTGTTTTGTTGGGTACGGGGATGGTGTGAAGGGGTTTAGAATTTTTTCACCTTCGGAGGGTCGGGTCATTCTTAGTAGGGATGTTACTTTCGATGAAAACACCATGTATTCAATTAAAAATGCAGAGATTTCAGATTTGAGAAGGGAAGGAGACAATTTATTACAGACAGATGGGGTACTTGAGGTACATCAGTCTACCATTGCTGATTTACCTCGGGTACAATATATTGATGATGATGCTGATGTTCCAGTGCCGGGTACTCCTGAACCTGAGATTACTCCTACTCATTCTAACTCTGGGGATGAGGTGGAGCAATCTAATCAGGGGTCATCTAGTCAACCTGACACCATTCTTGAGATGCCTAAACGAGTTATCAAGAAGCCTGTTAGATTGATTGAAGAGATGGAGGGAAGAAATTGCTGTGTTGATGCGATGACAGGTTATGCATTGAGTGTAGCTGATGATGTAGAGTCATTTGAACCTGCCACATATAAACAAGCAATTAGTTGTAGTGAGTCTGCGCAATGGCTTGCCGCAATGGGTGAAGAGATGCAGTCCCTTTACAAGAACAGAGTGTGGGAACTGGTAAAGGTACCGGAAGGGAGGAAGCTTGTGGGTTGTAAATGGATTTACAAGAAGAAAGAAGGGTTGTCGGAAACTGAGCAAATACGTTTTAAGGCTAGGCTAGTTGCTAAGGGGTTCAGTCAGGTAGAAGGGGTTGACTTTGTTGAGATATTCTCACCTGTGGTTCGACATACTTCTATCCGTGTGTTATTGTCAATTGTAGCACATTTTGATCTTGAGCTGGAGCAGTTGGATGTTAAAACGGCCTTCCTTCATGGCGATTTGGAGGAGGAGATTCTGATGAAGCAGCCCGAAGGATTCGAAGTTCCTGGAAAGGAACACTATGCCTGCAGATTGCTAAAGTCATTGTATGGACTTAAGCAATCCCCCCGACAGTGGTACAAAAGGTTTGATTCTTTTATGGTTTCACAAGGTTTTGACAGGAATTCATATGATTGCTGTGTGTATCATAGTAAGCTGGATAATGGTTCCGTGATTTATCTTTTGTTATATGTTGATGACATGTTGGTTGCCACAAAGAATAAATCTGATATTGCTAGATTAAAGGAGATGCTTAACTCGGAGTTTGACATGAAAGACTTGGGTGCAGCTAGGAAGATTTTGGGTATGGAGATCTACAGGGATCGGGCTAGAGGTAAGCTTTTCTTGACTCAGAAAAGCTACATTGAAAAGATTTTGTCTCGTTTTGGGATGGAAAAATCGAAGCCTATAAGTACGCCAACTACTGTTAGTTGTAAGTTGTCTTTGTCTATGTCACCTCAATCAGAGGAGGAGTTGTCTTATATGTCTAGAGTTCCATATGCAAATGCGGTTGGTTGTTTGATGTATGCTATGGTCTGTACTAGGCCGGATATTGCGCATGCTGTTAGTGTTGTAAGCAGGTTTATGGCTCGACCTGGGAGGGAACACTGGCAAGGGGTGAAAAGGATTTTTCGCTACCTGAGAGGGACAACTGATATTGGTCTTGTGTACGGGAATGGTAGGGAATGCTTGGTCACTGGGTACAGTGATTCTGATTATGCAGCTGATGTGGATACCAGGAGGTCTGTGACTGGTTATGTGTTCACTTTGGGTGGTTCTGTGGTTAGTTGGAAGTCTACATTGCAGTCATCAGTTACGTTGTCAACTACTGAAGCTGAGTATATGGCTCTAACTTCTGCAGCTAAGGAGTCTATTTGGCTCAAAGGCCTAGTAGGTGAACTGGGTATTGCACAGGATTTTGCTACAGTGTATTGTGATAGTCTAAGTGCGATTTGCTTAGCTAAAGATCAAGTACACCATGATCGGACGAAGCACATTGATGTCAGGTATCATTTCTTACGTACTGACAAGAGGATTAAGGTGAAGAAGATTGGGACTGCTGACAACCCGGCTGATTTCTTCACTAAGCCTGTTCCGTTTAGCAAGTTTAAACATTGCTTAGACTTGCTAAATATTGATTACTACGTGATGTAGTAGGCCCTGAGGGGCGAAGTTGGGGAGCTCCTGGTGTAGGTGTGTTGGCATTAAGGTGGAGCTTGCCCGGGGCTTGTGATGCAGGTGGAGCATTATGAGTTGTTATACTTGGAGACGAGTATGTGATGGGTCTTGGTTGAAGACTTATCGGGATGTATGGCTTATGCATGAGTCCTGCATCGGGTTTGGCTTGAGATGTTTTTTCACTATGTCTTGATGGGGTCGTTTGCTGACTACGAGTTCTCGTCAAGGTGGAGATTGTTGATAAGTATATTAGGTGACTCGTACTTCGTAGCTTTGTCCGCCCGATCGGGCGGACATTGCCCGGTCTGACCGGGCGGAAGAAGAAGAGGTGCCTGGCAAATTCGTTGAAGAAGCTGCTCTCGCGCCCGACCGGGCGAGCCTTCGCCCGACCGGGCGAGCCTTCGCCCGATCGGGCAGACCTTGCCCGGTCTGACCGGGCGGTGGGGGTTGGATACGTTGAAGCATTCGTATGGAGTTTTCTTCTCGCGCCCGATCGGGCAGACCTTGCCCGGTCTGACCGGGCGGAGAAGGAAAAATACGGAACGCGGATTTTGCGGTTTTAGGTTATCTTATTTTATTATCTTTTTGCCCAAGTATCTTTTAATTAGGGATTAATATAAAACCTCCCTAATATCAGTATTAGGGTTAAGAGAGACAGAGTGAGAGCCGTTCTTGAGAAATACAAGAATCATCTTTGTAATCTTTGCAGTTTATAGTGAAATCATTCGATCTCGGTGCCCGTGGACGTAGCTATCACATCGATAGTGAACCACGTAAATTCTTGGTGTTGTTCTTATTGTTTGCATTGAATTTCTTTATTGTTTTCTTGTTTGTTTACGACCTTTGCTTCCGCTGTCGCACAACATATGTTATACTCTCATTTCACCTTATACCTACGTCAATAAGTATTTTTCTTGATTCGTTAAATTTACTTCGCAAATTACAACCAGCTAACAGTCTTAGACTCTTAGCATATGGCTGGACAAAATTTATTTTCGGTGGAATAGTTGTAGCTTGAAAGAGTTCTTTTGCTACGCATTCCTCTTCATAAGTTCTTTTTTATATTCATTGGTCCGAAAAAATTTGTCTCACCTTTTCTGCTGCTGCCTTGTATCTGTTTCCAAATACCAGAGATATATTTTGATGAAAACCCAGCTCATTTGTCTAAAGTTTGAATTTTTACTCTCTCCAGAAAACTTAATTTTTGAACTTGTCTGTGCGTATACTTAGCTGTAGTTCTGGTAATAGTTTGCAATTCATGTGGATAAGCACCTCTTCTCTTCTCTTTTACAAACTGCACCTAATACCAGCAATAGTTGTTGAGGAAATAGGGTGTAGAGAAAATAAACCTTATAATCTTATGTATGTAACCTTTCTGGAGGACTGCACTGTGATGCTTAATAAATACTGAAGATAGATATTTTGCAGTTTACCATAGATATCTTGGAAACTAATCTCCTTCATTCTTGACGCGGTTTCTTCATGCTTGCATCAGGACGTTTTCCCCTTTTTTTTTACCTCCTCGTATCTTTAAGTAAGGTTGGCTAGCTTGCTGGAGTTCTTCTTATCTATATCCCTTCTTGATACCTGAATGTACTGTCATTTCTCCTAATTCAAAGGTTTGCAAATATGCTTTGATAAATCATGTACAAAGTGCTATGCAAAGCCAGAGCCCACATTTTTTCACCCATGAAGTGAGAACGTCTTATCGCTTTCCTTATTTTTTGTTTGCTTATACTCATCGTCTGTCACTACCTAATGTCTAAACAAGTAGTTTGAGGATGCTTCACATCATGTGAATGGATGAATGGGTGACCACTTTTGCCTTAAACTTGCTAAGCATCCCATATGGTCTTATATTGTCATTCCTGCTTTCACATATATTATTCTTGACTTAATTATGTCTGATATTGATCTTATTGATGGGGAACCTTTTCGTCTCTGAATTGTATACTATGGAGTAATAAATTGCTTACAATCTACTCTATGTACAGGTTCATCTTTCAATTTTTTCCCCAACATTATTGTTAATAATTATTTAGAAAAAGCCGAATTCAAGATCTAGTTAAACTTGGCAGCTCTTTAAATTTATTTTTCATCGGAGTGGTCAAATATTAACAGGCTAATATCATTGGTAATTTTTTGTTGTAAAACGATGCATTTAGTGCACCTTTCCTTGTTCTGCCAACTTCATTATGATACTATTTTATTGTATAACTATCATACTATGTGTTTCCTTATGAACTCAAACCAGCTTGTAACATTCACTTGTAATTCTGCTGACAGAAAAGATGGCATGGATGGTTTATAAAGTTGTTTTCTATGCAGTATTCAATTCCATGAATTTCACGGCCATAGACAAATTGGCAAAACCTAGCAGCAGCATTAGCCATCAGGTATTATGAACCTCCATGAATCAACTTATGATTTGTCTTCTTGAAAAACCGAATGGATTTTTTGGGAATTAACTTGGGACTCGTGGAGTGTTTGTACCTTGCTCTGGCTTATGCGTTTGTCTTTAAAGGCCTAGCATTAAATGACGCATGTTGGAGTTGAAAATTGATTGAGTGGCATACCTTCATTTATGCAGGAACCATGTGTATGCCGTTGCCCTCAATGTTGATGTTTGAACCACCAGATTTGGAGTTAATTTCAAGCAGAAGATCAGAGTATGAAGGCTTTAGACATTGCTCCTGAGGACTGAGACAACTATCAGCAGGCCTAGCACCAGAGAAAGATGAGTAAACTTTGCCCCTTTCCTTGTCGCATCACGATTTCCGAATTAACCAACACCAGCAGAGGCCGTAGTCACAATTTGCTCTGCTTTCTTGTTAAACATTAATCATTGTAAACAACTTTTACGTGAAATTTTTCTCATTCAATCAAAAGAACCTATGTAATTCTCTGTGTGATAGCAAATTTGAACTAATTTTAAGGCATCAATAAGTTTTAATAGCCCATGAAAAACGGGTCAGATACATGGGCTGGTCTGAACAAAGTTGTGCGTACTTGTACCTTTGGACTTACATGTTGAAAATATGTGCATTTATCGGAGAACATAAATATTAAATAGTCTATTCTTAGCTTTCACTTTAATATTTTCCAACATCTATAACACACGAAATTTGTTTTAAATTCACCTATAACTTATACACCAAATAAATCAAATAAAATAGTTTTTAAAAAAGGTATACATGTCACGTTATCTATAATTTTGTTCTCTCATTTTGTCAACTTCAGTTTGATATATAAACATTTAAGATATAACACACTAGAGCAATAGAGTATCAGACTATCAACACATTAGGTTTATGGGTTTTTCTATAAAAATTAATTAAAGCTTCAAATATAATACTTCTATTTTTGGAAAAACCTTTTTTGAGTTGGTATCTTAATAAAATGGATTTCAAACTGGACATCCAGAAAACTCGAATCAAACAATCAAAATCAAATCAAAATTTTGGATTTTTCAATAATTTACTGATCCTATTACATCTTTAAAACTCAATTATATGAGTATTAATTGGTACCCTTTTTTATTATTATTTTTTATTTTTATGGCTACCCCAGTCCCCAGTACCACACAGGCATTTAGGCAGGTGTAATGTTTTTATATTTTCTTTCAGTTTTTATATGTCTCATTTGAAAATATATTTAAGAAAAAGAACTCATACAAAATCTTATTAGTTTTATCTACAATTATCAATTTTTTTTTTCTCATTTGAAAATATTAATTTTTTTAAAATTATCACATATGCATATGCACAATTTTACTATTGTTACTCATAAATATATACATTAAAATGGTAAAATAATCCAATAAAACCAACAATATTAACGAACGGATAGGAGGGAGTATTACTAGTAACTTGTGTGTGTGTTTGATTGTGTGGCAGTAGTTGAACTTTTTCTCCTCTTTCAAAGTTGGACGAAAGTAAATCACCGACCATAATATTCATCACAAGATAAGCTTTTAAATTATATAACCTGAAATAAATTAATTAATTAAAAAAATCATAGTACTAGTAGGTCAACTAATATGAATAAGAAGTTGTAGACATTTAGTGCTTGGAAAAATTCCTACAAATGAAGGTAAGAAAATAAAATTGAAAAATAAACCGACTATGTCCAAAAAGTAGTCAAAAGTGTCAATTAATTAAACCAAATTAAAGAAAGCAACAATTTAAAAATCATGCATGTATACTTGTTAATTATGTTAAGTATACTAAATTACCAATGTTTAGACTTCATTGGTACACCTAATTGGTTGATACCGTGCAATTTGAGATAATTCAAGATATTGCAAACAAACAAAAAAACAAAGAAAAATAGAGAAGTTTCAGGTAATTTGGGTTTTTTTTTTATGGGAATTTGCTGACTTTAACTTGTACGACCAAGACAAAATAGAATTGAGTTGCTTTTAAAATGAAATCACCAAGAGGTAAATCAAGGGAAGTGCACATGCTTTTGACACAAAATCTTCTTTAAAATTATCTACATATCTTCCTTCTTTTAAACCATTCAATTAATGATTTTTAATGCTACAGTAAAGATAGGTCTTGTATACAAAAGACATTTAATCACATCAAATTTTTAACTATTTATTTAATTACTGCACTAATTTTTCTTGATATAAATATTTTTTGTTACTATTAGAACAATTCTAATCATTCCAATTGAGTTGTTTAAATCCTTTAAAACTATTCAAGTACGGAAAAATTAGAGTTTATTTCAATAATGGAGTGGGTATAAAATGATGCAATAGAACACTTACTTTTTGTTAAGATGTTAACCCATATGTACCTACTAATTAACCTAGTTAATGAATTGTAATTATATATCTAATCATAGGTGAAATAAAAATTAAAAGAAAAAAAAAGAAGAAGTGATTTTCCGAATATATTATACATACGTGAAATAAAAAAGTTGGCCTAGTGAACAAATTACAAGTGGAAGAATATATATTGTTAAATTAAAAAAAGTATTTATTAGGTTGTGCATTAAAATAAGCATATTGACATATTGTAACTAATACGGAGTATAGAATTTCAATCATACTTTGTACAAGTAATTCATAACCATGTATTTTCAATAGCAAATCTAAATCATTTATTCATTTCACTAAACTAATTGATATAGTTAAATTATTCTTCAAATACAAATTAAATTTAAGGAATTATTAATATAATGTAATCTTTCTTATTAGCTAATGTATATATTAATAAAATATTAGTCAACTTAGTAGTTAGCAACTTTGTTTTATTAATGTTTTTACATTACACCCTCCGTCCCTTATTGATAGCTCCTTATGGGCAATTTTCACGGGAATTAATAAATAAGAAGTACGGAATAGTAAAGTATGTTGGAAAGGTAAATTTAAATTAGATATGCAAAAAAGTAGAGAGAAAAAGTAATAAAAGTATATAGAAGAATTTGCACAAAATATTGTTGCAAATTGAAGAGAATTTTGGTAAAAAATAATACTATTAGAAATTGAAAAAAGCAAATGGGACTATCATTTTGGAACTTTAAATTGGCTATAAGCGACTATCAATAAGGGACGGAGGAAGTAGTAGCTATCAACTATGCAACTGCGCAAATTTATGTATCGTGGTCATATTAAATATCTTTTTTTTTTTGGTAGTTTTTCCATATCATTAATAAATGAAATGGATTAATGTGATCACAATTCGTAATTGGGAAGCCACTAATATAAAAAAAAGGTGTGTTGAAGAATAGACCCCCCAAGTACAACCACATGTAAGTGTCCTACATTGGTTGATGGAGAAAGATTTAATCACTTTATAAAGCTATGAGACTACCCTACTCTTCCTATATTATTGTATGGTTTTGGGATGGAACCACCTTTGGTTTTATAAAGTGGACTCTCTCTCTCTCTCTTGATTACAGGTGCGACCTAGACTCACTAGTAGAAAAATAGTAATAGACACCCCCTATATGGCACCGGTTCAGGCCAAACTGGTGGCCAAAACCGGTCTAGAAATGGGCGGGATTTTAGAAGAAGAGAAAAGGCACCGGTTTGGCCTGAACCGGTGCCTTAAATTAAAAAGGCACCGATTTGAACCGGTGCCAGTTGAACCGGACCCAATTCAAAAAAAAAATCGCGGCTTGCTTTCTTCTTCTCCTTCCTCTCTTTCTCTTTCATTCATTCCTTCCTCACTTAGCTTACTGTTTCATTAGAGCTGGGCAAGAACATCCTTCAATCCTTCCTCTCTCTCCCTCCCTCCACCACAGCCGTCACCTTCACCGGCGGCCACCAGAGGTTTCGAAAACCGCCTTCAATCCTTCCTCTCTCTGTTTTCCCTTTCTTTCTCTTTCGAAAACCACCTACATAGTTCGAAAAATCCTTCCACCGCCCTGAGGTTGCTCCACCACCTAGCCGCGCCACCCCCTTGAGGCTCCTCCACCACCGAGCCGCGCCACCGGCCTAAGGGTCCTCCTCCATTTGTCGTGAGTGCCCTGAGTCTCCTCCTAGCTGCTGCCCTAATTGTCTCCTCCACCACTTAGCCGCGCCACCCCCCTGAGGCTCCTCCACCACCGAGCCGCGCCACCGGCCTGAGGGTCCTCCTCCATTTGCCGTGACTGCCCTGAGTCTCCTCCTAGCTGCTGCCCTAATTGTCTCAAGGTTTCTTTTTATTTTTTATTTTTTTTACATTATTTTCCAATTATATAATTATATATATTAATTTTTTTGCATTTTGAACCATTGTTAGTAAATTAAAATTTAGGTTTGAATAAAAATTTTCTCAATTTTAGGTTTGAATATAATTGGGAAATTGTGAAAATATTAGAGATTAGTAACCTTGTTACTTAATTAGTTGGATTTTATTATGTTTTAATGGTTAATTTAATGTGTTTTGGTGGATAATTTTGAAATAATTATAGAATATATATTAACCTTGGTATTTAAATAGGTGAAATTTGGTATTTTACTTTTAATGGTTAATTTGAAGTTGTTTTGATGGATTATTTTGAATAAGTTAGAGATTAGTTAACTTTGTTATTAAATTAGGGTAATTTTGGAATGTTTAAATGGTTAATATTAAGTTGTTTTGATGGGTATATTTGAATTAATTTGAGATTAGTAACCTTGCTTGTTACTAAAGTAGATGAATTTTGGAATGGATGAATGGTTACTTTTAAGTTGTTTTGATGGGTAATTTTGAAAAAATTAGAGATTAGTAACCTTGTTAGTTTAGCAATTTTTAGTTCAATGAATGATGTGTTTTAGCTTATAAATAAATTAGTGAATTGACATGTTATGAGAAAGAAACAGTACATACCTTATATTTAACCTAATTTTTGTTTATTGTTTTTTTTAATAGATTTGTGAATTGAAGCACGAGTTTAATTAGCTTGAGGACTACATATTGAGCTCAAGTGGGTAGTTGCTATATTGGTATGACTTATAAACTTTACTTAGCTATATTTCTTTCTATTTATCCATTTAATAAAAGTTTATTCATGAAATTGCAACTTGTGTATTGTTTAATTGCAAATAAATACAACAATATATAGAATACTTGCATCATCATATGCCTAGACACCCGTTCAAGGCTTTCTCATTAGGAGAAAGTCTTGAATAGTCCTCGGTTGGGACTGTTCTTGAATGTGTACTCTCACTTAGGTGGTGAATGTATGTTTTCTTTTCGATTTTAAGGAACATCTTTGCTTACCATTTCCTCACTATGTTCTCTGGGTACATATGTGGGTAATTAATTATCTACATCGCGTACTTGGAGAACTAGGAAGAAATGCTGCCGGATTTTCCTTAAAATTGGAAAGTTGACATACATTCACTAGTGAGAGTAGACATTCAAGGATGGTTTAGGTTGGAGTGATAAGGACCCTTTGGAAACATGCATTTTTTCACTATATGAATGGTATATTCACGTTTTGTACTTGAATTTGATTTACATAAAATATGTATCACTTACACATTATAAATTATATGGTGCTATGTATGTTTAGAG